TCTTTCCCTCCCCCCCTCCCCCATCGCCCACTCTCCTGAGTTTTTTTCCTTCCCGTCTCCTTTCCTAACTGCACTTCCCCTGTGTCCATCCTCTCCTCCGTTGGCCACGTGTGATCCATTTGCTATTGTCTTCTCCTCCCACCTCCTCTGCTGCCACTCAGGCAACTTCTTCCTAGGTCACCAGCTCTGGCTCGGGAAATTCCTGGAGGGGGAGGGGAGTGAGCTCATGTCCTGGGATGCCACATCCTGTAATGTCATGTCGAGGTCAATGGACAGCTCCTCCAACCCCCCCTCCCTTCCTGTGAGGCTTCTTCCTCCCGTCAGAATTCAAATTTAAATATCCCTCCTCATATCACTTCCCTGCTGCCTTTTTCTCCCATCCTTTATCACTTGTAGGGTTCTGTGTGCCCTTTGAACCTAAATATTTGTGTTGGTAAAACTGGCTGCCACCCAATTACATTCCACTCAACCTAAAAAAAAACCCTCTGTCAAAATCTTCTTCAGGTTTTTCTTAGTATTAAAAAAGCCACTTCGAACACCCAAAGGAGGAGATCAGCTAACAGCAGTGCCAGCCCCCTCCCAATCCTCAAACTGTTTCTGTCCTTTACTGTCTTTACAGGCAACAGCAGATCAGTTGCACCTAGTCTCTGATATACCATAAAACGAGTGAAAGTCCTAGAGCCTCTGTACCCTCTGTAGCCACTCTAGGGTTTTTACTTCTCCTAGACTCTGCAGCATGCCATAGAGACCACCCTGAAAAATGTACCCTTTCCTCTGGATGAACTGATCTCTGTAGTCTGGAGATCCCATTGTAATTCTGGGAGAATTCCAGGCCCCTCTTGAGACCCTAGTGTTCCCTCTAAGCTGAGTTAGTGTGAGCCAGCTCACAGTTTTGTAGCCTCCGGCTCACACATATTTTGTCTTAGATCAGGAGGGATGGGGCTCCAGAGCAGACTAATTTATGCCGCAGCCAAATGGCTCACTGAGAACTTTTGCTCACAAGAAGGCTCCATAGTTTAGAGGGAGCATTGCAGAGTGACGACCCTGTTCCTTCCTTCCTCAGTCTTCCAGCCGTGGCGACAGAAGGTGAGGCTGTGGGGCTCCCTCCCTCAGATCCATCTTTCCTCCTCGTACCACAGTTAAGTGTTACATGAGCACAGATCTTAGTCACACCAACCCGCTTCAAACCTCCCCCTCTTGACCAGGTTAAAACTTGTTAAGAGGAAACTGGTTGGCATCAATCAGATCAGACACGGGTGGGTAAGCGGAGGAAGAACACCCCCCCCCCCAGGGCCTGCATCTGACCTCGTCGCTGTGGGTAAGACCTCTTAGCTATGACTGAGCCACCCATGGTGTTCCTTCTGCACCGCCCCACTTGTCCAGAGCTGTGGCAGAACAAGAGCAAGCTTCTCCCTGCTTGAGATAACAAACACAGCTTCACTTCATTTAGCAAAAGTTGGCAGAAGAAACAGGCAGGCATCTGCAGAGGACAAAGGACAGCCCCATGAGTCCTTGTAAAAAACAAGGTCACTTACCAACCATTGCGCTGACTTCTCCTGCCATTAATAAGTCTACCGTGCTGTTGTAGAGATTCACATCGATGATCCCTTTACGAATTGTTTCTCCTACTTTGGCTCCCAGCAACACTGACCCAGTAGTTTCAAAAACAGAAGCCAAAATGCAGGCCTGGCGCAGAGTAACCACCCCAGAACCCACAGCCGTACCAAAAGAATTGGCAACATCGTTTGCTCCAACAGAGAATGCCAAGATAAAAGCAATGATAAACCCCGCAATGACCATCCATAGGTATTCATCCAATGCCATTTTTCCAGGTGCGTTTCTTCTTTGTAAGTATTTAACTATACAAATCAGTAGAGCACAAAAACAGCTTTGGAAAGCGGATTCCTTGTAAACAATGAGTAGTCTCTGGAAAGTGCTGTGTGGTGTTGGAGCATGCAGAAACTGCTAACTGCTGATTTTCAGATTAATGTCAATACTGCTTCTTTGGATGGTTTCTGTCATCAATAAAACCCATTCCATATTTTGCTTCAATAGAATTATGGCTGCGATGCTTCCTCCTGCAACAGAGAAAAATAGTTACAAGAGACAAAATGCAAATTGTTTAAATCCAATACAGGGATCGCACAATGACGTGTGGCGCTGCTGACAGCAAAGCTGTTCAGACAAGATTATAGTGTCCACTTAAAAAGCAGCAGGTTCTGCTTCATTATCCCTCCAAAACATTAGATTGATAAAAGAAGAGTTACCTTGCATTCCCCTAAAACCCTACTGCTACAAAGTTGGCAGAAAGTGGACAGCAACCTATCAGCCTGCCCTGTGCCTAGAAGCATCTGGGATTTTGCTCTCAGGCTGGAAAAGACTGACCTAGAACCAAATACCCTTTTTACAATCATTACCTATGTAATGAGACTGAAGTAATTATGAATACTCATAACACAGCCCTCTCCCTAACGAGAGCCAGTTTGGTGTAGTGGTTAAGAGCTGGTTGATTCCCCCCTCCTCCTCCACATGCAGCCAGCTGGGGGTGACCTTGGGTCAGTTACAAGTTCCTTCAGTGCTGTTCTCTCAAGGGCAGTTCTCAAAAGAGCTCTCTCAGCCCCACCTACCTCACAGGGTGTCTGTTGTAGGGAGGGGGAGGGAAAGGAGACTGTAAGCCGCTCTGACACTTTGAGTGATGGGCAGGGTATAAATCCAATCTCTTTTTCTTCTTCATCATCATCCCAAATGCAACTGATGTCATTTGATTGATTTGCACAGAAGTCAATACATTAAAACAGTGGTTTTCCACCTTTGGGGAGCCAGGATCAACCTATAACCACCCCGCCTGCACAGGGAGCAGCATGGGACCCACTGAGGGGCAAATGAGGGAAAGTCACCTGTAATCAGAATCAAGTGGAGAGAAACAGAAGGGGTGTGTGTGTGTGTGTGTGTGTGTGTACCATGGTGATGAATGAGCCAGCACAGGGAGGCTCAGAGGTCTCCCCTCCTCCTCTTCCTCCTAGGCTGAGCCACCCTGATAGTAAAATATGATTACCATCTCCAGTGCTTGTGGTGTGGATCCCCCCAACCGCACTGCGGGAAGAGGCATGGCTTTTTTGTATGTGGTGCCACCGGGGGGGGGGGGGG